GACGGAATGCAATGAGGCTTCCAGGGCTGGGGACCTGGGGGAGGTGGGCAGTATGACCCCCTCTTTCTCTCCTGGGTGAGGGCAGAGAGCTCCCATCCCCACCCCAGGCTGTGGCCCTTGGCCTGAACCAGTTGCCATCCTGGGGGAGGGGAGAGAGGAGGCGGGTGAGGAAGAGGAGGGTGAAGTGGTGGAGAGCTTGGCCTGGATTCAAATCTTGATGCCTCTTCTTGCCAATTCTGTGACTTAGGACAAGCGATGTAACCTCTCCGAGCCTCTGTTTTTCCATCTGTAAAATGGGGGTAATAATCATACCAGCTTGTAGGGTTGCTTTGGGGATTACCAAGGAAAATTGACCTCGGGCGGTTCTCAGCACAGAGGAAGTGTTCCACGAAGTGGGGGGGGGGCTCTTTAAAAAACAAACTAAAGAAAAAGAAAGTAGTGGCTCTTGTTACTAATAACAGTCTTTTTCTGAGATAAGTATGATAAACAATCCCCATTTTGCTGATGAGAAAACTGAGGGTTAAAGAACTGGAGTGAGTTGGTGATTGGGCGAAGCCAGGTGACACCCAAGGTTAGTCCATGCTAGGCACTGCGTCGTTGTTGAGTGTGTGCATTTGGGGGGTGTGTGTGATGAGGGGGCATCTGTGGAGGCGGAAAGGGGCCCAGGAAGAAACAGGAAGCTCCCTAACGTGCTTTCCAGAGCTGTGAGTGGGCCGGTGAAGCCGAAGTCTCAGGCACAGTAGTGACAGTGGCTGTTGCATGCACTGGTGGCGGCACTGTGGCTGGTCTCTGGGAGCTGGCCCTGGGCTGGGGACTCTCCAGCCTTTCACCTCGTGGCAGGTCCCACCAAAGTGCCGGGACAGGAGGCGTGGAAGGCAGACAGGAGCTCGAGCGTGAGGATGGCGCTTAGACATTGCCCTGCGAGGAGCGGGGAGTGGGTGTGGGGCTCTGAGCAGGGAAGCGCGTCACAGCTGTGCTGGACGAGCGTGGGCTGCAGGCAGAGGGTGGCCGCTCTGCCCCACTGAGCGCCGTGTTCATCTCGGGCCCTGGGGACCGTGGCGGACCGAGAGGGGTGTGAGCCTGCCTGGCCCTCCTTGCTGCTTCTGTGCAGTGGGGAGGGAATGCCTCCACCAGGGTCGAAGCCGTCAGGCGGGGGAAGAGGTGGCTGGGGTCCCTGGGTCTCAGGCTGCAGGGGATGGCAGCCGCCTTGCTGTGGGCAAAGCCTCTTCACCAGGAGATAATCCGTGTGTCTGGGCGGCGGGAGGTGGAGCGACAGAGGCACCTTCCCTCTGCAGACGGAGACGTGCTCCATGCGCCAGCCCTTCTCACCTGGAGAGTCACCGCAGTTTGATTTTGTCCACACCACAGCTCTCACCCCCCTGACAGTCGCGCACCTGGGGGCCGTTAGCAGGGCTGACAGCAGCCCTGACTGTCCTGGGGGGGCCTCGAAGATCGGCCGCTGTCAGGGCAGCCAGCTGACGGGCAAGGAGAAGTGGATGTTCCCAAGGCACGGCTGCTTCGCATGAGCTCCGGCCACTGACCTGGAGCTGGGCCCACCCACGCTCCAGCTCGATGGCCCTGGAGCGATGGCCTCAGTGGTCTGATCTGTGAAATGGGTGCTCACCTCCGTGGGTGGTTGAGGGAATTAGAGGCGGTTCCGTGCCTAGAGGGCTTCTTAGCAGAGTGCCCGGAGCAGAGGAAACCTTGGTCATCAGTAGCTTTAAAAACATCCCTTGCCATCCCTCTGTCCTGCGCTCTGCTTGTTCGGGTAGGAAGTGGCGGGCCAGTGTCGGCCTGTAGGTTCCCCTCACTTTCAGCCACCGCCTTTTGGCGAGCATTTGATGTTGCCTCCTGCAGGCAGAGCTGAGATCCCAGGGAGGAGCCAGACAGGCTGGACTTGGGACAATAAGCCGTAGACTGTCCCAAGGCCCAAATCCAGCCTGGGAGGTGGAGGCCAGGAATGGCTTCCAGAGGGGCCCTGGAGGCAGGTGACAGCCAGGGAGAGGGGCAGGCAGGGAGCCCTGGGCGGAGGACCCAGCCTGTGCCAAGGGCTGGAGCCCACCAGGGGTGAGGGGCAGGCAGGGAGCCCTGGGCGGAGGACCCAGCCTGTGCCAAGGGCTGGAGCCCACCAGGGGTCTTGCCCAGGCAGCCCAGGGAGACGTCCTCCTGCCTTTCAGGAGGACAGACCCCGTCTCCATGTCAGAGGCCACCCCCGCTACCTCTCTCGGGATTATCTGGCCACAGGGTGTGGCTTAAATGGTGGAAGCTGGACAAGATGGATTGTTCCCCCACATCCTGGGGAAGGGCCACCTGATAGCCCTGCTGACCCTGGGTCACCCACACTGCCTCTGTCCAGTGGGCCAGGGAGAAAATCATTACCGGGAGGCCAGCTTCTGGGGCAGGGCAGCTCCCCTCGGGGACCCGGGGTAAGGAGATTGGTTTGACCTCTGGTCGATAAGGTCTCCTGTGAGCAGGAGGAGAGTTGGAGGACAGGGAGGGACACTGGAGGCCTACTCTGGGGGAGGGGACAGGGCCAGCCACCTCCGGAAGTCATTCCAGGAAGGTCGGAGGCCATGGGTGGGAGGTCTTCAGGACAAATGCCTGCCAGGTGTGGGCCTCAGAGGGGCTGGAGTTTGTCCTTCCCTGCGCAGCAGGGTGTGACAGGAGGTGGCCCAGGCGTCAGATCCAGGCTGTGCATGGTGCTACGGGCTGGCCGTGGAGTGGAGGGGACTGTGGCGGATGAGGATGCAGCTCGGCCAGTGGGCCAGGCCCTCCCCACCAGACTGTGTGGCTTGCAGCAGCGGACTTAACTTTTCTGGGCCTTAGTTTCCACCTCTGTTAAATGGGGTGATATGTGTTGCCATGGGGTTGTCAGTAAGCAGTGGTCATCAGTTGACAACCCCATGGTTGACAATGGGGTTGTCAAAAGCAATGGCACCTTCCCAAATGGGAATCTGGCTTGCAGGGCTTCCCTTAGAGCCCTTATAGGATTCTGGTAGGTTCCATCAACAGTCATCTCTCCCAAGTGCTTACTGCAGGCCAGGCCCTGCCCTGACACTTTGTGTGTTCCTTTATATGTTTGACATTCACGGCCACCCATGGGGTGGGCGCCGTTATCATCGGCCTCATTTTATAGGTGAGGAAACAGGCACAGAGAGTTCAGTGACTTGCCTAAGGCCCCTTAGCTGGAGTGTGGCATGCCCTGGGCTTTGAACCTGTGGCCAGCTCCTAATGGCACGGTGGGGTAGGGGGCAGGCTGGCCCAGCAACGCGCTGGACTCCGATTGCCCGCTCTGTGACCTTGGCCGTCAAGCTGTGTCGGTCAAGCTCAGCTTCCTCACCTGTCGTAGGATGATGCTTCCACCCTGAGCGTGACTGTGAGGGCTCAGTTACGTGGTCCCACTGTGGCGCCTGCGGGGCCCAGGCCCGGGTGGGGGGACACGTGCAGGTCAGCGTGGGGGCAGGGATCCTGGGCCGGGTGTGAGCTGTGGCGAGCGAGGGGACATAGTTCCTGTCCTTGGGAGCTCACAGCTGGGGGGAGAGGCGGACGCTGGGCCAGCCAGGGTCCGGAGAGCTCTGCCCGAGGCCGGGCGGGGCTGCGCCAGTGCGTCGTGGGGTCCCGCGTGCCTGGCGTTGCCCCAGACTTCGCGGCACAGAGAGCAAACCCAGAATGACGCGTGGCCTTCGGGACTGTTCAGCTCTATGGTTAGGATGGAATGGGACATGTGGACAATTACAGCGTAGGAAAACCTAACGCTGAATGACAGGGCTCCAGGGCTTTTCAGCATTCACGTCATCCCAGTGCTTTGGGAGGCCAAGGCGGGAGGCTCGCTTGAGCCCAGGAGTTTAGAGACCAGTCTGGGCAACATAGTGAGATCCGTGTCTACAAAAAATTTTTAAAAGTTAGCCGGGCATGGTGGCATGTGCCTGAGTGTGTGCCTCAGCTACTCAGGAGGCCGAGGTGGGAGGATTGCCAGAGCCCAGGGGTTTGAGGCTGCAGTGAGCTACGATCTCACCACTGCACTCTGGCATGGGTGACAGAGGGAAACCCCATCTCTAAAACATAAAAAGTTTCTACTGTGTTAGGTGCTGGGGATATAGGGACAAACAGGAAAGTGACAGCTCCGGCGACCATGGCACTGCCAGTCTATTGGGCAGACAGACAGCGCCGGGATGAGTAGGTGGCATGTCAGGTTGATGCGTGCCAGAAACACACAGCATGGAGGAGGGAGGGAGAGTGGCGGAGGTGGGGGTGGCTTCTGAAAAGGGCCTAAGAAGGACTGTGTGAGGAGATGACATTTGAGCAGAGACCCAAGTGAACTAGAGAGCCAGAAGATGAGGATCTGGGAAAGAGCATCAAAGCAGAGGGAAGAGCAAGTGCAAAGGCCCTGGGGCGGCAGTGTAGTTGAGTCTGGAATGCTCAGAGGCACTAAGGTGGCCAGTGCAGCTGATGGGGAGGGGAGGGTGGCGGAGGAAGGTGGAAAAGCAGTTGGGCTCAGTCCCCAGGGCCTTGAGGCCACGGAGAGGGCCTTTCTCTAAGTGTGGAGGGAAGGCCTGGAGGGCGGGGGCTGGGGATTGGGTTTGGTGGAGGACAGAGTGCCGGAGGGTGAGGGTGGCCGCGGAGGCCAGCGAGGAGGTGCGCGCAGACCGTCCGGATGAGAGGCCGCGTCTGGGGAAGGGACGGAGATTGTGGGTGGGACCGGACAGGGCTTCCTGGAGGACGTGGGAGGAGGAGCTGGACCTTGGGGGCACGGGGTTTCTGCGGGCGGGAAGCAAAGGCCTCTCCGGGAGGGCGGGATGAGGGCGGCCGCTTGGTGTGAGGCGAGCATGGGCACTCCTGGGGCTGGGGTGAGGTCACTGCAGAATCTGCCCACTGGGGTGAAATGGGGGTGCGTGGGCGGTTCTGAGCGTGTGCTGAGGCCGGGCCCTGCTCTTTGTCGTGCGTGGGGCTGGCTCCTGCACGCGGGGACGGGACTCACCGTCTCCCCTTTCCCCGCCCAGGTGCTGGTCGCCGAGGAGAACGTGGACTTCCGTATCCACGTGGAGAACCAGACGCGGGCTCGGGACGATGTGAGCCGTAAGCAGCTACGGCTGTACCAGCTCTACAGCCGGACCAGCGGGAAACACATCCAGGTCTTGGGCCGCAGGATCAGCGCCCGCGGCGAGGACGGGGACAAGTATGGTATGTGCCAGCCCCTCCTCCCACCCGTGCACACACTCTTCCCAGCCTCACAGACCTCGAGTTCCAATCCCAGCTCTGTGGTGTCCTGGCTATGTGATCTTGGGCCTAGGGCTGATCCTTTCTGAGCCTCAGTTTCCTGATCTGTAGAATGGGGATGCAATAGTAAATCCTTGAGAGGCTTGTTAGGAATACTAACTGAAGACGTGAATAAAAAGTGCTTTTGCTGGTAAATGCCTCTTAAGTGGCAGTTGTTGTAGCATCAGTGGCTTGCCTAGGGATGGCCTAAAGCAGGTGGCCGCTCTCTGAGCCATTGCTTCACTGGCCCCAGTTTCAGATGCTTCAAGGGGCTGGAGCCTCTGGCTGGTGCTTTTTGGATGCTGGAGGTGTGGAAATGGGCCTGGTGTGTGCGTGTGCATGTGCTTGTGTGTATGTGTGTGCATGTGCTTGTGTGTATGTGTGTGTGCTTGTGTGTATGTGTGTGCATGTGCTCGTGTGTATGTGTGTGCATGTGCTCGTGTGTGTGTGCATGTGCTTGTGTATGTGTGTGCATGTGCTTGTGTGTATGTGTGTGTGCTTGTGTGTATGTGTGTGCTTGTGTGTATGTGTGTGTGCTTTGTGTATGTGCGTGCATGTGCTTGTGTGTATGTGTGTGTGCATGTGCTTGTGTGTATGTGTGTGCATGTGCTTGTGTGTATGTGTGTGCATGTGCTTGTGTGTATGTGTGTGCATGTGCTTGTGTGTATGTGCGTGCATGTGCTTGTGTGTATGTGCGTGCATGTGCTTGTGTGTATGTGCGTGCATGTGCTTGTGTGTATGTGTGTGCATGTGCTTGTGTGTATATGTGTGTGCATGTGCTTGTGTGTATGTGTGTGCATGTGCTTGTGTGTATGTGTGTGTGTGTGTATATGTGCTTGTGTGTATGCATGTGTGTGTGTGCTTGTGTGTATGTGTGTGCATGTACTTGTGTATGTGTGTGTGTATGTGTGTGTGCTTGTGTGTATGGGTGCATGCATGTGCTTGTGTGCTTTGAGCTTGAGCTTGTGCACCTGTGCTGCATGGGTGCTCACAGCACCCTGGGCCATGGTCTCCTTGGCCTGCCCTTGACCTTGGAACTGCCCAACCCTCCCCCAATGGGGAAGGGGTGTTTGGGAACCCTCTCCCCTCCCCCATTCGTGCTACCTCTGCCAAGGGCTGGGCGGAGAGAGACACCCTGACTCCCTCCCTCCCGCCCCAAGTCCCCGGCCCACAAAGGTGCTCAGTAGTCAGGGAAAGACAGGACTCCGCCCTCCCAGAGCTTAGAGGGGATCTGGCCGAGACAGACGCTGAGCAAATACTTACCACGCAGTGTATTTATTTAAAATTGCTGGGCAGGAAAAGCCGAGGCTGCAGCGAGGCCTCCTGGTGCTCGCCCCTCACCAGGAAAGCACCTGCCCCCACCGCTGCTGCCTGCCCTGCCCCAGGTTCTGGGAGCGTCCCAGACCCCGGCTTGGGCCTGGGGAGCTGGGGCGGTGGTGGCCAAGACACCGGTGGGGCTGTGGTGCCCTGCGCAGCTGAGCCTGCCAGCCTCGGCGTGTCTGGGTGGTGCCCCGCCTGCCCGCCGGCCCCTGCCCGTTGCAGTCAGGACGTGACAACAAGACAAATAATTTCTTGGACCTTTTATCTTGGACACCATTTATTTTCCTGCAGCCCCAGGGCAGGACTGACCTCGTGGTAGGGCCCAAGTGTGGCAGCTGCACTGTCACTGGGGGCTGGGCAGGGCCCGGCCGGGCAGGGCTGGGCCACACTGGGCTTGCGCCCCTCCTGGCCAGCTGCCTCCCCCCTGCTCCCTGTCCATAGTCGGGTTGCTGCCTCCACCCCTTCCCCCGCGTTTCTGTCCCTCTCTGTCTTCCCCTCCACACCACCTCTGTCCTCTTCCCTGCCTCCCTCCCTCGGACCGCAGCCTCCTCCTCCCTGCCTCTCCCAGGCCCTCTGCTGGCCGCCTCTCCTCTCGGGGCCTGCGTCTGCCCCTGCCCCCTCGCGGACGCCTGGCTGTGCTGGGCGGCCCCAGGTGCTGGTTTTCCCTGGGATCCGCTGTCCAGTTGCCGCCGGAGAAGGGGCAGCTGGCTGGCCGGCGGGAGGAGGTGCCCTCCCGGGGAGTCCCCGGAGCTCGTGCGGGCCCCTCCAGGCTAGGAGAGTACAGGGGGGTCAGAGTCTGGTCTGAACCATCTGTCCACACCCTGAGACAGGAGGCAGGAGCTCGGGAGGGAGGGGAGCCCGGAGGTGGCTGCCCCCTCACCCCAGAAGCCACTTGCCCTCGAGTTCCCTCTGCCCGAACTGGGAACTCGGGGTCTTACCTGTTGTGTGACCTCAGACAAGCCCTTGCCTTCTCTGGGCCTCAGTTTCTCTTCTGTAGAATACCAAGGGTGGACTAGAGCAGTGCTTCTTAGACATTAAGGTGCGTGCGCATCACCAAGGGATCTTGTCAACATGCTGATGTCGATTCAGGGGCCTGAGCTGCTGCCTTTCCAGCAGGTGCCCAGGTGGTGCTGCAGGGCCACACCTGGAGTGTCGCGGGCCCAGCCCACCCTGGCTTCTCTGCCCTCCGAACTTTAGGATGTAATCACCCCTCTCAAGAAATACGCTCTTGTGCTCCTCCAACCCCCCAGCACCAGGGCAGGGGCGAGCTGGCTGCTGCCGCTCCATTTAAATGTCGCATTAGAAACGCAGATGAGGCCGAGGGACCCCATCTGTGAGCCCCGGCAGAGGAAGTGAGACAATGGAGCCAATTGAGGCTTCCAATCTAGATAATCAATACAAATATTATTGGGAGGGTGATTTATGTGGCCAGGCCAGGCAGGAGGGTGGGGCTGCCCTGCCTGCGGGGGAGGGGCGGCCGGGGCTGGCCGGCCCAGGGACCTGCTCCTTCTTCTCAGGGCCCAGCCCAGCTGGGAGGACCGCGCAGTCTGGGACTTGTAATCCGCACTTAGTTAGAATCACATAATTTTATCAACTTGCAGTCTCTGAATTTCAGCAAATACCAAATATAAACAGAATCCCTATAAACACCTGGAATCTGGAATCCCACAAACACCGGGAATCTCGGGTCAGCGTCTGTATTAGACTGGCCTCCTGAGGCGCCAGGCTCCGAGGAGCGGGCGGGCTCGAGGTGCAGGCCCCCTTTGCCTGGGCGCCCTGCCCAGCGGCTCCTGGTTTATTCCACAGCACTGAGTGGAACTTTGGTGACATCCGTAGCTGTCAGGGGGCCTTCTGCACCTCGCCGTTCTGCAAGAGGGTCTCCCTGTGGACCCCTGAAGCTTCCCAGCACTGAAAAGCTTTAGGGGCCTTGAGGGTGGGCTGCTCCAGGAATGAGGGGCTTCGGAAGGAGGGGACAGCTGGCCAGAGTGCCGGAGGCTTACAGAGGGGCATACCTGGCAGGCGGGGGCTGTGGGGGGATCACCCTGCACATCTGGGATTGTATCAGCCTCCATCTTCTTGCTTTTGGCCCTGGTCACTTCTGTCCTATAGGCAGTTGCTACCTCGGAGAGCAGCACTGGACCGGGAGGCAGGACACTTGGGCTCCAGTGGCAGCTCTGCCACTGAGCGTCCTGCAGAGCCTGGGACGAGTGTCTCCAGTTCTGGGCTGCCCTCCAGGCCTGGGATGTGCAGGGAGGTGAGGTGTCAACTCCTGCGGCAGGAGGCAGGGCTGCTGGGCCGCTGGGCTGGGCTCTCGGAAGGGGGAGCCTGGGCCGCCGGAGCCGTGCGCCGGGATGCTGGGAGTCCCAGCACGTAGGGGCAGCTCTGCTTTTATAGGCCTTGTCATTGGCTATTCCTGCCCGATTCATTTGAAAAATGGGTTTCTCTGCTTGAGAAAAAAGTGATTAGAAATGTCCCATTTTGCAGTAGGCCAGCCTCCGAGGACTGACAGTGTCCAGGGCGGCTGGCGCCGGCCAGCACAGGGGCTGTGCTGGTGAGGGGGGCTGTGTTTTGAGCGCTGAACACGTAAACTCTGGAGTCTGATGTGCTTTGAATCTCGGCCCCGCCACTTCCGAGCTGGGAGACCGTGGCTCTGAGTTCGCCCTTCTGATCCTGTGTCCTCGTCTACAAAGCGGAGTCATCGAGATGAGAGGGTCTTATGCCCAAAGAGCATATGATTATTAAAATGAGGATATTAACCACCTGGACTCATTGCTGTTGTCGGGGGGAGAGGGGGTGCTGTCACGGCTCGGGTTGAGTTCCCCATCAGGAACTGGTTCCCGAGACTTCCAGAAGGGGCCCCGGGAAGACGGGTGGCTGCCTGTCTCCATCAGTGGGACCCTGGCTCGTCAGAGGCAGGAAGAAGAGGCTTGTCTCTCGCGTGACCCTGAGCAGCAGGGTCTCGGGCCAGGAGAGGAAGGAGGGCCTTTGGATCCTCTTCTTGGGTGTGGTCTCGTCTCCTCCCAGTTGACACGGGGGGGGCCCTCGCTGTTACAGCACAGGTTACCGAGCGCCCAAGGACACAGTGGTGAGTAGGACGTGCGTGGCCCAGCCTGCAAGAAGCCCACGGTCTAGAGCTCCCTGTCCCTTACCAGGGGCTGCCTCGGAGTGGGCAGAACCCAGGCCACTAACTGCCCATGTGACCGAGAGCCATTCCATGTGACTCATTCCCTCCCTGGACCTCAGTTTCCCCACCTGTAACGTGGGTGGGGTGCAGGGTATGGAGTTAGCTCCAGCTTGGGCTTGGCGTGGCCTGCGGTTCCAAGGTCACAGGGAGTTGGTGTGCCCCAATTGCGGGCAGCCTCCCTGAACCCCACCTGGGTGAAGTGCCCTGTGCTCACCCTTGTCCCCACAAGGGTCCTGCTGTGCTGGGACCGTCTGTCGACAGGGCTGGCTCCCCTGAGAGGATGTGAGCTGTGAGAGCAGTGACCTTGTCTCGCTCCTTGCCCTGTCCCCACGTCCAGCATGGGGCCTGGCAGAGAGCAGGCCCCCACAGGGCTGCTGGATGAATGGATAAAACACGTGCGGGGCGACGCAAGGCATAATCG